TGTTCAATAAAATTGTTATTTTCGGTTAATCCTCTTAATTTTTTTCAGGAATTTCAAATAACGAAACATTGTCAACCACCTTCAAACAAACAAGGTTATCGTATAAGATATTTTGTCGAAGAAAAGGATTGAGTCAAAGCATGAGGGTGGATTAGGGAATTGATGTTCTTATTGGGGGATTCTGATAAGTGTCGATGGTACAGTTCCTCGATGATGTGATTTGGGAAATCGTTGTTAGTGAAAAAATTGAGGGGTTCATATAAATAAAAAGAAGTCTGGAAAAAAGGGAGTTGTTCGCTGCCAATTGGTGGGATTTTGGATTAAGCATATCAAAAATTTTAATTTTGACCTAATTCTGAATTTATCACATGTTCCAGATATCATTTCCACCACGGTGTCTATATTTTTCCATAAATTATTATACACAACGTTTGCATGAGCTTCCAAGAATACATGAATAATATACCCCTTATCGAGTTTGTGGCCTTACAACAATTCTCCCACTTCAAAAATCGCCCTATGACTATGAGAGCTCGCCGATTTTCGGAATGAAATCTCTTTGACAAAATCTTCAGATCTGTTAACGTTCCATTCAATTCAAATTTATTGCATCCATATCCTATTAACAATAAATAGATCGGATTAGTCCAAGTTCACAAATTAAGTTGTGTGTAATGGTTGAAAAAAAGATTACATTCTTGAATGTTATGAAATATCGAGTAAAAATCGAATTTGAATCGGGTATTTCAGTGATGATTACTTCACCGTCTGTGAAAAATCACAAAACCATCACAAAGATAAAGTAAAATATGAGGAAGTATGAGAAGATCAGTACTGAAGTCACTAACCACAAAAAAGTTCGAATTCATGGAGGGAGTAAAAGCATCCTTCGGTCAGTACTTTCTTTAATTTGTGTTTGAAGATATCTGGACGTCTGCTCTCTCTCAATTCGAGAGGCAGAATGTTGAATAGACGTATTCTAGTATCCACTGGAGCTTTTTTGAAAGGAGCGACAAATTTTCTTCGGTAAAATATTTCTATTGTTTCTGGTGTCATATATGTGAATATCGCAATGCCTTCTAAAGCTGTTTAGGTTATTGAAAATGTGAGTCAACATTTTTAATATATAAATGAAGGGCACAATGAGAATTTTTTTAGTTTTGAAAATGTCTCTGCATGATGTTCTATAAGATAAACAGAAAATACGTCTAATTATACGTTTTTGCAACACAAACACTCTTTGTAGTTCGGATGCTTGACCCCAAACAACGAAACTAGATGAAATAGCGGAGTACTCCAGTGCATAGTAAACTTCAAGCAGACATTCTCGTTCCAGCATGTTTTGGAGTGTAGTGACCACACAGAAACATTTGTTCAGCTTACCACAAACTAAATCGACATGCGAGTTCCATGATAGGTTGTAGTCGAATTGTGTCCCTAAGAACTTTACCATTAAGGATGGCTCAATTGACACTCCTTCAAATAAGAGCGGTAAATGCAAAGGTGTTCTATGTTTCATATAAAACTCTATATATTTCGTCTTATTATGATTAATCATAAGTTCATTTTTAAAAGCACCAGTCTTATTAGTATTGTGTTGACCTTCTCGGATAGTCTTTTCGTACTCAATCATCACTAAGTAAGATGAATGTTTGAACTCTTCTATCGACAGAAAACCTACGCATGTGATTCATTTTGATTCTTTCCTTTCAAACTCACACAAATCCGCAGCGTTCAACTTCCTGTTTTCCAGACACTCTTCTATTGCTATGAACCCTTTGAATTTTTCATTCGAACTGAATAATATCGGGAAATAAAGGTTTCGAATTTCTACTTCTCCATCTTCATACAAAAATATGTGAACATTTTCCAAAGAAAAGAAGAAAGCAATCAATTTCAAAAAGACAACTCTATATAAAGATTTGTAGATTATGCAAAGAAGTAACTGAAAGAAAAAGCCATCTTGAAACAGCTACTTTCATTTGAATATTGACTTACACGAAAGAAAAATACTTTCGAAACAAGCACTTTTATATGAACATTGAATTATAAAAAAAAACTTTTGTCTATTCAGTTTGTATTCGAAACATTCGTTGTGGAATTGAATCAGATATCATTCCCAGGATTGCTACACAATATAGTGAATGGAAGACGTAAAATTTCACTTACATGAAACTTATGTCATTATAACATACTTAAAGATATTCATTCGCTCATTTGATCAAATCCCAGCCATAGGAATCTTGTTTGAATTGAAAGGAGGGTTTTTAAGAGAGGCCGTTTTTTTGTGAAGAAAAGTTTTGGCTTTCTACTTCGCCATTTCCATTCCCAAAAAACTGGGAATCTTCTAAAGAAAGGAAGGAAGGAATCAATTTCAAAATGAAGATGTGCAGACCATGCAAAGAAGTGACTTTCACACACAAACTGGAAGAAAAAGCCCTCTCGTAACAGCCACTTGGCTGAAGACATTATTTTCCTAGCTTGATCGATGAAAACTTTCAGCTAAGCTTTATTTTCAAGTGCTCAGGAAGGATGACCAATTGTTGCTGGTGATAAAAATGGGCTACAAGAAACTCCAAACACGATAAAAATCGATGTTTCAGTGCAATAATGACTTCCTAATATCATTCAATACACAATAGAACCTACTCTGAACTACTTACCATCAGACCTAAAAGACCACTCACCATACAAACTAATCGGCTTCCTTAAGAAGCTGGGTTTATGTGGTCGAGTGTGCATAGGTGTAAGTCATAAGACTGGACGATGGGGTGCAAATAAAGAAACAGCCTTCCACTCGACTTCTGGAACCCGACTTTTAGAACGATGATGATACCTCACTCTTGCCATTCTATTAAAACCGTCTCATAATCACACATTCGATTACTATCATTCAGCTTTTTAGTAGTAGAATGTAAAGTTTTTTTTAGAATGTTCCCTGGTAACAAATAATAAAGTTTCATACTGACTGTGAGTAGTATTACTAGTCAAAATATTTTTAATATTATTTTCACAAATATTTGAAACTTGTTCGGTAGCTCTATCTGAATTCAATTGAATTAATTTTTCGAAATGCAAATCGAACTACATTATAGCAAAATGTTTTTTCGCTGCAAACAAGACATCTAATAAAATTTCTACATTTATTCATTATATGATAAGGGTTGAGACATCCTTAACAACACTGTTTTTTCATTACTAACTATTTTTTTTGTTTATACATCAGTTTTCGTGACTACATACAATTTTGACTTGCATGAAGATTGTTGCAAAAAATACAAGAAATATTAATTTTCTTACGCACAGTTTGTTTATAGGATGAAATAAAGGTAGTCGCCGTGCATGGGCTGGTTTCATCATTAACAAGATCTTTGTATTTCCCTGTGCTGCGTACTTTGCCTTATTCCTTTTGTGAGCAACCCTTTTTAGCCAAAAATCTAATAACAAATTGAGATAGTGAAATTTTTATTCAATGAAATTTCACTCGTGATTTTAACAGAATCCCACACCCTCTGAATATCTTCAAGAAGAGCAGATTCTACCAAAGGATACAGCATAGCTGCGTAATCATCAGATGTTTATCAAACAAGCTAGACAGATACATACCTGCATCTGCATTCACTTCTATAAGAAACTCATCTCTGGCAAACCTAGCTTTCAGAGACTCGACAGCTTTGTCGTAATTGTCTCCTGCCAATTATTGCGCCTTTGAACCTGGTTCCACTGCAATAAATATTGGTATTTATCTTCTTTGGCGATTTCTTCGTCAACATGAATTTTATTGAATTGGCCTCAGAAGCCTATCCAGTTCTTAACCTCGCCATTAAATTTCTTCATTTCCAACCTAGGAAGTTGAAAATTCTTCATTGGCGCTGATTCATTGTTGATACTCGTGAATCTCTCGATTTATTCTGCGTGTTGAGTACGAAATAATCTCCTTTCTTCAAACCAACATCACTTGAGATATTTTTGGGATCTTGCATGTCCTTTTCAAGCATTCGTCTGAGGAAAATCCTTGTCTTTTGATGTAATTTAAAATCTCCCATTGTCTGTCCTGTCACGGTCGCCATTAATGTAAGAAATGGGAAAAACTGATATGAATGCGAAATGAACAATTTCTTAACTTTTCAGAAAATAATCTGACAATTCAACAATTATTTAGAACGATTCTAACAAATTTCTGTCATAGCAAATACATTCACATGACAACAGCTCTGATGAAAGGCCAATTCATCACATCTAGGTATGTCGTTTTTGTATTGAATAACTAATTAGAACTGAGTAGGATGTTGGTTTCAGTTTCATATTCAATGGAATATGCATGAATGAGGTGAGTATGATTTTTTTTGGAAACTGAAATTTATTTCTACTTCATTTGCCAAATGGGAAATAAATAGATTTGCATAAAACATTTCAAGTGAAGTTTGTAAAATCGAATCGAAAGATTAACTGAGGAGAAATGGTTTTTTTCTATTAGCTACAAGAATCATCCAATCAAGAAATTTACCATATAGTCATGTTCACAAGTGCCTTTTCACGTAAGTTCAGCGTAGCCTTCATCGATTCCTAAATTGTCAAAGGGTAATTTACAATTATGGAGCCAAATTGCACTTACAAACATCAACAATTAAGTCGAATGTTCGTTTTCTGCAAATATCTGAAAAACTTTCAGATATTTCAAATTTGGAAAAAGATCCCATATATAACGTTTCTATTATAAATGACACCGCCTTCAATAACTTACTTGATGATCTTTTACTAATGCATGGAAAAGACTCAATATTATTATTTTGGGAGGTTTTTTCGAAGTTCAAAAAAATAACGGCTCTCAGAATGAAAAGATTTGTTTTTTGAGGTTTTTTGAGGTGAGGTATTATTATTATTATTATTATTTGCTTCACTTTTCAGTTGTTTCATTAGAATGTTTTGAAATTTTATGAATTGAAGTACGATCGTAATTGGAAATATGTCTCAAGTGAAAATGGAAATTTAAAAAATACTTTAACGAACACACATTTATTATTCAATGTTGCTAATATAAATTTGGATTACAATAAAAACTATATCAATGAGATAACATTATTCCTGGCTGTTTCCTGGAGTTTTCAACTTCCACCATCTGAAATATGAATAAAATTAATTCAACAGAGGATCTGTCAAGTTTGATGAAGTACAAACTAGTTTATCAAGAAAAGTAACTGCAAAATAGCAACCTTGTAGAGTAACTTGTATTCATGAATATGCCTGTGAATAAAATAAATTATTGAAAAATGGAATTTTATAGTAACCTTTGGACAAAATGGCTAACGTTTCGAAAATACCGTTCGAGAATACCCTCCAGCCATTATCTGAAAACTAAGTGAACAACTTCGTTTCTCCAATAATTTATTTTATTCGAAGGCAATAATTATATATAGAATTTACTGACTAATTGGACTTGCACTTCAGCAGATTCTTCGCTGATTAAGATTTTTTTCAGATTGTGGAAGGTTGATAACCCAGATAAAAGTGGGTAACATCGACTGCTTCACGAAAATATATTTCAAAGAACATAATATTAATAATTTATGGGAAAAGCATCTGGTCTGTTTCTACAGCTTCGTTTTCTTCTTACTTCGGATCAAGTATTTTGAATACTTCATATCCATTGTATGTTGTTCAGAGTGGACTATTTCTGAAAGTTTGTACCTTGAAAAATAAAGACAAAACTTTTCATGAAACTGTCAAGAATGGAAAATAATTTGATTTTTAAAATTTCATTTGAATATTTTGAATATTTCCGAATTATTCCAATTGATATATAATACAAATATATTATATAAAAGTTTTACAGTCAATAATTTTCTCAAAAATAGAACTATTTCTTGTTTGTAGGAAATTTTATGATAAACAAAAAGTCTATTCCATTGCAGTTCTAATAGTTGAAAAGATATTTTCAATTTTTTCAATAGCAAACACTGAATAGTTGGATTTGAAATTCGAATTTGTGAAAAATAGTCAATAATATAAAAATAATACTTTTTTATTAAGTAAGATAAACCAAACATAATGACCCACTTGATCGTATCACGGGTAGTTGATCGATATCGACTCCAGTTTACTGAATGTTTGACTTTAAATTTCAGAAAGTGGTTCTGTTGAGTGGTTTGAACTTTTCAGAGATTGTTTCATATGATTGAATACAATTTCAATAGAAAATTCATGTGGCTATAACTCCACCCTATTCTGGTAACTTCATTCGACCAACTAGACATCGTTTATTGACTTCTGAACGCAATACCTTAGACGTGAAGTTATATAATAAATTGCCAGTGCATATTAAGGAACTACCTACTCATAAATTCAAGATACTAATTCGAAAATATTTGATGTCACACTGCTTCTTCTCGGCGGGGGAGTATTTGGAGGCCGGTGTGAATTCATGGGAAACTACATAGTGTCATAACAAACACATCACTACAACACATGCCATTGGGGAACACTCTTCACCCAATTTAATTCTAAATACACACATCGGAAAAGTCTAGGGATATTTTTAAAAATGGAAATAATTTTTTTTTAGATCGCTTTAGGGAAAAAAAAGTTGACGGGTGATTATTTAACGAATGTAACTCACAACAAAATTTATTGAAAGGTCAAAAATACTGAGTGCGCATATAAGCAAAACTAAAAAAACACATGGCTCTTCTTTGGCACCCCGAAAAAAAATCATAATACAAAAAAAATTGGAATCAGTACAAAGTATGGCCTCCACGCTGGTTTATTACGGCCCTACATCTATCGTGCATCGACAAAATGAGATTGTCAATGTCTTGTTGAGGTACATTTGCCCATTCAGCGAATAAAAGCCCTCTCAATTGAAACGTTGTGTGAATGTAATTCTTCGTTGAAGCATGTCCCACACATTCTCGATGGGATTCAGGTCCGGTGATTGTGCTGACCATGACAATACATCAACTCCTCCGTTGGTGAGCCAGTCAGTCACTAGACGCGCGACATGTGGACGAGCATTATCGTGCATTAGGTGGAAGTTTTCACCAACAGCACCAGCAAACGAACGGACGATAGGTAGAAGAATGGTGTCGAGGTACTGTCGAGCTGTGAGGGAGCGATTTGGAAAAACGAGATCGGTTCTGCCGCCGATCATGATTCCGCCCCATAGCATTACTGTACCACCTCTGTATGTGTGGACTTCCTGGACGTGTCTCAAACGTTCATTATTTCCAGGTCGTCTCCACAGTCTTACTCGACGAGAATCTGGATGAAATCCAAATCTGGATTCGTCTGTAAACAAAACTGTGGCCCAATCATTTGCATCCCAGTTTTGATGTTCTTGACACCACTCTAATCTTCTACAGCGATTGCCTCTCGACAAAGGTGGACATCTAATTGGCCTTCTGTTGTGGACATCTGCTTCATGCAGTCGATTTCTGACAGTATCACGACCAATGGTTACCTGGTGCGTCTGCTGCAACACGTTAACCAACTCAGGTGCTGTGATTGTCGGTTGTCTTCTTGCGGTTAAGACCAAAAATCGGTCTTGAACTGCAGTTGTAGCGCGTCCTCGCCCTGGATGTTGTTCGGCTGGACTGCCAGTTTCACGGAAACGCCGCCACAATCGACTGATAACACTTTGGGAGACCCCCAAACGAAGAGCTACATCATTTTGTCGCATGCCACCTTGAAGAAGCCATACAGCTCTATTCATCTCAGCCAATGGTAAGTGATGGCGTTCCATGGTAAAGCACAATATTTCCAGTTTAATTGCTGAGCAAGAACTGCATAGAATGTACAAACTCGACACTTTCAGATTATTCATTTTAGCCGAAAACCTACAGTTTGTAAAAAACTTGATAAAAGATTAGTTACCGTTTTTGCAGGCTTTGTTCAACCCATAGAAATCTACAGGGTGGTCGAGTGTACCAATTTAATCGAAATTAAACGACCTCATGCATTTATTTTTATGATATTTAGTATGTTATAAAAATATCTCTAGACTTTTCCGATGTGTGTAATTAGAAATGAGAGATTATATTTTAAATTGTAGTTTTGTTCTGAATGTGTATTTTATTTTATTCTAATTTATTATGCTATGTTCTGGACCTACCACAAATAGATTAATAATCTGTAATATGTCTGAAGTTGATAAATACCTTCGGAGGTTTGTTTTTAATTCTGAGACGATCTTTGGCAGTTCTCAAATAGTTTTTTATATAGGTTTCCACATCTTCTTCTGTGCAGTTGACTGTTAAACATACTGATTCTGTAATAAAGGTGATATTTGTTATTTCAGTTAAAAAACAATAATTCCCAAAACACAAAATATATGAAATTTACATTTGCAATACTGATGCAACCTAATCTAAGGAAATCACTATGAATAACTGGATATGTACAGGGTGAGTGAACAAAATTCTCTCGGTTCATTACTATCAGAGAAAATAATTTTTCGAACTGCTCAATTTTTTTTGCAGTCATATCGATGAATACTACTTTTTGAGACGATTTTCTTGCATATTGGGTGATTCAGGCGAGCGTGGCCAACCAGAGTTATATTTTTGTGAATAGCACACCGAGTATATGAATTCGTCCATCGATTCCATATTTTTTTAACTCTCTAATGATTTTTTTTCGAATGTTCATTGCGGCATTGACAAGTTAATCCCCAGAAGAAAAAAAAACATTTTGCAGAAATATTTTTCTAGTTCACCACCTGCATGTCTACAGCAATAAAGTCGATTTTTTTAGGAATAGTCAATATCACAATGATAATTTCTGGAATGCCAACTTTCGGAAACAATATATAGGGTGCTCGGTAAAACCGGTCAAGTTTCAGACAGACATAATTCAACTTTTTCAAATGGAACACCTTGTATTTTTTCATTTGTGCGAAATGTTTCAATATTGCTCTTCATTTTTCATCAGAGGTATACTAATCGAAAAACTGATATTTTACAAATTATACCAAGTATGAGTAATTGTTATAACCACAAAAAAATGTTTTTTCTCACGTTCACTTACTCAAATTTGTTTTTCGAATATCCAAACTAATCACTAGTAAGTACATTAGTATTTTTCATACCATCTAGTGATAGTTATCTGCGGTTTCAACATTGAGAAATGCCTAAAAAGCTGAATAATATTGATACTGGTTTTTTCTTCAAAAACCCACTTATCAATGACTGACATCAAAAAATGAATAACGGAATTTGTCAATAACGCCATGTGTTGGAGTTTCTTTCGCGTGTAGATTGAATCATTTTCATTATGAATTATGTATTGGAAGATATGGTGCAAATGGTCTATGCTTTGGGGGAAAGTGACGGAAACTGCCTCCTTGCATCTAGAATTTACAAAGAGAAGTTTCCCAAAAGAAGACAACCAGATGGAAGGGCATTTCAGGTACTAAAAGAAAGATTTGAAAGAACTGGTAATGTCACAGACGAGAAGTTCGAACGTGTCTACCCTGTAACAAATGAAGAGAAAACATTTCAAATTGTTCTTCACCTTGTTCAAAATCCCCATGTGAGTACCCGAGACCTGAGCAGGGAATTAGGATTTTTTCATACCAGCGTGTCTGGAACGATACGAGTAAGCAAATTTCATTCTTATCACATGCAATTGATGCAAGAGTTAAGAGGAAGAGATTTTGAAAAACGTGTTGCTGATGGGGCTTAGGAAAGGTCAATCAGGAAAATGATGTTTTCGATTTCGTGTTATTTTCTGATGGAACGACTTTTCATAAAAATGGAACTGAGAATCGACATAACATGCATTATTATGCAACAGAAAACCCCATTTTGTTCGTTGCCTGAACCATCAACAGCGTTGGTCACTGAATATTTGGAGGTGGAATTCTCGGAAAAAGAGTTATCGGTCTGTATTTTTTGGATGAGAATCTCACGGGAAGAAAATATGTAATATTTCTTCGGCATGCGTTTTCGAATTTATTGGAGGGGGCTCCATATGGAACAAGACTAGAGCTTTCAGGAAAATGATGAAACGTGTAGAGAATTCGTTTAAAAAATACTGATATTATGTGTTTCAGAAAATGGTCGCCATTTTGAACATCTTTTGAAGTCCTCTATTCATTAAAATATTTAGTCCGTTTCATTCATATTGAAAAAAATTGAGTAAATGAACGTAAATAAATGAATTTTTTGTGGTTTTCAACTGTTGAAATTATAACGAAATTACCTATCTAGTACAGGTAGCGACATCTACCAGCGAATAGGTCAAACTTTGTTTCATCTGTCTTTTTCATTGTAGCCCCATATCTCAGAACGACACGATTGAACTGCGCGGTTTCGAAGACAGCAACAAACCGGGCAAGAAGAAGCTATTACCGTCTCGCGTCAAACGTACCAAAGACTGATAGAAGAGGAAGCAGATGCCAGCAGTTCCTCTGATGAGTTTCCTGAAACTATACCATTGAAGGAGTTGAAGGATATTACTCAGACGATTGAACTACAGCCAGAAGTAAGAAGAAGAAAGAAGCCAGACAGATTTGGTTATAGCAATACGTGCATTAATGCCGATTTCAATCTGTATGGATACTAGATAACTTACAAAGATGCTGTAAGATGCTATAGAAGTAAAGCTGAAATCATTCGAAGAAAATGAAGCATGGAAAGTGGTAGATAAGCCAGATCAAGCAACTGTGGTTAAGTGCAAGTGGGTGTTGATAAAAATCAGACCAGTGCGAAAAAGTGAGATATCGCGTGCGTTTAGTAGCTGAAGGCTATCCCCAAAAAGCCGGAATAGGTTATAAAGAAACTTTTTTCCCCGGTACTTCGTTACTTCGTTACTAAGACTTTTGTTTGCTTTAAGTGTCAAATATAGCCTAGATATAACTCATCTTGATGTTACAAAAACGTTTTTAAATGGTTATTTGGATGAAACTGTTTATATGAACTTACCAGAAAATGTTGTGTGTAATGATAGAGAAAATAAGGTTCTGAAGTTGAATAGGGCAATTTGTGGCCTAAAACAAGCTGGGGCTTGGTACAGGCGAGTAGCTAATTGTTTGCAAAGCTTAGGTTATGAAAAGTCTTTGTATGAGCCTTGTTTGTTTATCAAACTGAATGAAGAAGTTAAAACATTTGTAGCTCTATTTGTCGATGATTTATCCATTTTTTCTGACTGTAAAAATGAAACTGAATGTCTCAAGACTGAGATAGGCATACAATTTAGGTTGAAAGGTTTAGGATAAGTTAGACAATGTCTAGGTATGAGAGTCAAAAAAGAAACAATTCAATATGGAGAACCGTAACCCAGTAATTACACCAATGGAAGTAGGTTTAAAGCTTAAAAAGGAAAATATTTGCTCTACCGAATATCCTTATCAGCAATTGATAGGAAGTTTGCTTTACTTGATAATACTTACTCGTCCTGACATATCTTATGCAGTTTGTTACCTCAGCTAATTTAATAACTGTTATAGTAAAACCCATTGGAAACATGTAAAGCGAGTATTGAGGTATTTAAAAAAAAACAAAAACTTCTTTTGAAATATGTTAAAGATGATTTAGATTTGATGGGGTATATAGATGATAATTGGGCATCAGATTGCTTAGACAGAAAATTCATACTGGATTTATGTTTGCAAGGTCTGGCAGTGTAATCTCATTTGAATGTAAGAAACAGACAACAATAGCTTTGTCCAGCACAGAGGCTGAATACATGGCCATTTGCGAGGTAACTAAAGAAGCCGCTTGTTTGAATTAAAATGTAGAAACGATTTACCTGTATGTCTGTATAATGATAACAGTGCTCAAAAATTAGCTGAAAATTGTGTATTCCATAGGAGAAGTAAGCATATCGATGTAAGATTTCATTTTGTCAGAACAGCTGCTGAGAATAATGTTGAAAAAATAGATTCTTTGGATACAAATAATATGCCCACTGACATAATGACAAAGAGCCTAAGTTCTCAAAAACATTATACATTTATTGTACGGTTTAGTATCACATAATTGTAATTTAAATTTGTTTTGGTTATTGTGAAGTAATAATTTTTTTTTGGTGTTATTTCGTTAAGGGAGTATGTTGAAATTATAACGAAATTACCTATTTTGTACAGGTAGCGACATCTACCAGTGAATAGGTCAAACTTTGTTTTATCTGTCTTTTTCATTGTACATATATGTAGAAATTATTATTTGAATATTAAAAGTTGAGTTAGTATTTGAATAATCATCGTGTGTTTCATTATCAACAATTAATTAAACTAAGTATAGTTTGTAAAATAACTGTTTTTCACATAATCACCTTTGATGAAAAATGTAGCGAAATATTGAAACATTTCATACAAATGAAAAAATATAGGACGTTCTTTTTGAAAAAGTTGAATTATGTCTTTTCGAAATGAATGAAACTTGACCGGTTTTACCGAGCACCCTATATATTGTTTCAGAAAGTTGAGATTCCCAAAATTATCATAATGATGTTGACTAACTATTCCTAAAAAAATCCACTAAATTGTTGTAGACATGCGGGTGGTGAATCAAAAAAATATTGTCTACAAAATAGGTTTTTCTGGAATAACTTGGCAATGATGCTATAAAAATTCGAAGACATGAATTCCTTTAAGAGCTACAAAAATATGGAATCGAATAACGTATTCATATACTGTGTGTTCCATTTAAAAAAATATTAGTTGGCGACGCTCGGCTCAATCACCAAATATGCGAAAAAATAATTTTGAATGATAGTATTCATCGATATGACTGCGAAAAAAATTGAGCAATTAGAAAAATTGTTCTCCCTAATAGCAATGGACCGAGGGAATCTTGTTGACTCACTCTGTAGGTACAGATAAAATGCATTTCTAAATATTAGATGCATATATATAAATGAGACTGGTTCAATTCCACAAATCTAATTTTCAAGCAAATACTTTTTCAGTTTTCTACTTCTCCATCTCTTCATGAAAAATGTGTAAAAACTCTCGAAAATATGAAAAAAGTAATTTACTCCAGAATAAACTCTCTATGAAGATGTGTAGACCATGCACACAAGTGATGAGAGCAGAATTGTTTCATCCAGGGATAAGTTGTAGTTTCAAGCGGGAAATGTTTTCGTCTTCGAATTTATCCTTAAAGTTGATGAGGAGTTGGAGACAAACTCATTCGGTCCAAAACTTCTAGAAGTACACCTAGGGATGATAGTTTTACATGTAAGCGAAATCTTATTTCGAAAGTCGTATTGTTACGTTTTCCTCGTGGGTTCAACAATAATTGACTATTAATGTACAGTTGAATTCAACATTATGTCACTGCTACACGGAGAATACACAAACACTTCAACTGAAACTTCGAACTAATATCCAAATGTCTATCGTCTTATTAGATCACTTCATACCGCACTTTCAACTAGACTTGCCCCATCTGGCTGTTGGTAGTGTTTATATATTATAATGGATGTCTCACGAAGCGACGCCACATCTAGAACAATCGAGAAGCGCAAGTTGAGTTGAGCGCGACCCGAGCCAAGTCATAGTCGATTGATGAAGACGGCGGCCGGCGTTATTAAGTTTCAGAGGACAATCTGTGTAGTATTCTTATGAATGGTATCTATTTCATTTCCATAACAAATATTTGGAGTATTAACTGAATAGGGAAAAGTCGTTAACCCATTCAATGTGTAATTCAATGTTTATTCTTTCGAATGTAGTTATTTCAGATGAGCTTTTTCTTCCAATTTGTATCCCTTTAGTAACTTTTGAGCATGATGTATACATTGTTGTGGAGAGTTCATTCAGAAGTTAATCACTTTCCTTCTGCGGAAGTTTTCTACGTCTTTGTATACATGACGACAAAAAGATTGTTTTCATGTAAAAAGCTCTGTATCCAAGTTTGACGTCATTCCTTCTATCTACTTCATCTGAGTTCAATTGAAATTATTATTAAGGTAAATAGTGAAAAGTTCGAGTAAGATGCTTATATACTTACTAACAACACATCGTACCAGGTGCTTCAAATTAGTGACAGCAAACTTATTCGGATTTTTTCCACTCCAATTCATTTGCATGGAGATCTCCGATGTTAAAAGTTTCTCCAAGATTCTATAAGTACAAACTTGCACATTTTTTCCACCGACTTGAACCATATTCTTCATCTGGAATCTTTAAAAAGTAGTGGATTTGAGAAACTTCGAAAATTTCTGGTGTATACTCACGAATTTTTTTTCTTCTTCTACATTTTCCCCTAAAAGTTGATCCAGTTTCACTAATTCAGCAATTTCGTTAATGGGGATTGTATATCTACTACTAACCAAAGATGGAGTACATTCGCATGTTCTGGGGGCCACTTTCATTAGTTTTCTAATGGAAAATAATTCTTGAAGAATGAGTCCCTGATTTTTTAAGACCGTATCCAAACTTCCCACAGAGGACTGATGGCCTACAAAAATATTATGTATGAAACATGTATGATATTAATGTTAACATTTGTATCTCGAGTATGTTAGTAAAGATTTCAAAATATTTGTCGCTTCAGTTTACATGATTTGTTGTAGGTTATTATATAAAAAAGAATATATGCCTGAGAATCTTGTGAACGATAAGGCAGACATAGAGAGTAAGGGTGCTTACAGACTGGAGCTGCGATAAGAACGAAGAAGGAGAGCAAAGATAAGAGCGAAGAGAGCTGAGAGTTGGCATTTCAGAGTGGAGCGAAGAGTCAGTGCGATTCAAATCCTTCTTGAGTATGGACGACGACTACTTACTTCTTTGCGGAAAACTCGTCATTGAGATTGTGGTTCTTACGTGGGGGGCGAAAAGTAGAAGGGATTCACGAAATAAATCAATCGCGACATGAACACGGTGAATTCCACCATTTATATGAAGAACTTCGAAGAGATTCTATGAAATGTTATGAATACTTCCGCATGGATATCAAGACATTCGACTACTTGCTCAGTAAAGTACAACGCAGATTGCTGAAGAGGTGGCCGAACTGCATTTTAAATCCAATTTTACCTGTTGAACGTCTTGCAGTTACTTTAAGGTAAGTACAAATTTTTAATACAGGTTCGTACCGTAAAAGTTTTATCAATGAAGGTTTAATATTAATAACGTAATTATTTACTAAAAATTAACTTCAACGTTAAAGCAGATAAGGTAGGATTACAGGAATATTTACAGATATATATAGACGTCATTTATGACTATTGCGTCACCTGTTATGACCAGTTAAGAAGCCTACATCCGTTTATTTCCACCCTCCAAATTTCATTATTAGACGTATACCCGTTCAAAAGATACGAGGGGGGGAGGGGACTTTTGACTAGCACTGTATAAAGTAACGAAAACTGAGATTTAATTCAATTGAAATCAAACTATTAATTTTTTCATATTTGTGTAATACCTACCTAAAATAGTAAATAGTTTAATATAGTTAAAAAAATCGAATTAATATTTTTTTAAATTTAAGTTCAATTTGTTCCAGTTATATTGCTACTGGAGCGTCTTTCAAAAGTCTTGCTTTTACCTTTCGTATGGGCACAAACTGTCTCAAAGATCGTAGACGAAACCGCGGGAGCTATTTGGGACGTACTTCAACCTATTCACTTACAAGTTCCAACCGAAACGATGTTCAAGGACATTTCTCAACAATTCTTCGATAAATGGAATTTTCCCCTCTGCCTCGGTGCCATAGATGGCAAACACATCCGTGTCAAATGCCCACCAAATTCAGGGACTATGTTTTATAATTATAAACACTTTTTTTCCATAGTTTTGCAAGCTGTGGCCGATGCGAATTGTAAATTCATTGCTATTGAAGTAGGTGGGTACGGAAAACAAAGCGATGGAGGGACATTTCGCAATTCTTCCCTTTTCCACTTGATGGAAGCAGGGCGTTTAAATATCCCTTGTGATAACGTCCTACCTACAACAAGCATTGTAGCCCCGTACGTTTTTCTAGGAACGACGCCTATCCACTTCTGAGAAAGCTGTTGACACCTCACAAACCTCCCCGAGGAGGTCGTTTGACGTCAGAAGAAGAATATTTTAACATGCGGCTTTCTCGTGCGAGGCGAGTTGTTGAGGGTGCATTTGGTATTATGACTGCCAAATTTCGTATTTTGTTGAAACCTATTGAAACCTCTTTGGATTTGGCGGACAAAATCGTTAAATGCGTCTGTGTCTTGCATAACATGATAATTGACTTGGAAGGTAACCCATAAAGGTTTTTTCATAAAAACTATGCCAATCAAATCATCAACATTCATGATGTTGATGATGAATGTTGGATTTTAGCGCGATGTGGAACAACGATAAGAGCGAAGAAAACAAACTGACTTGATTTCTCCGCTCTTAGCGCAGCTCTCATCTTTGCTTGACCTTGAAGCGCTGCCCCACTATGAACGCCTCCCTCTACCTACACACGTTTGTTTTCTTTGCTCTCCTTCTTCGCTCTTATCGCAGCTCCAGTCTGTAAGCACCTTTAGTTAAATGATGGATTCTATTGAACGATACCAAAAAAATTGACTCGTAGCTCTGTTGGTTCTGAAGATATAATAAAAAAAACACAAAATATTCAATTTCATTCGTGACGTATCTTGTTTGTTCGCATAAATACTGAAAATTCACACAAACTATGTGGTATGAAATTTCAATTAGCTATCACTATATGTTCCGCCCGACTATGACCACGCTAAACGGATCTGAATTTTTTCTTTCCTTTTCCGGCAAATTCAGATGTTGTATCCCAACCGGAAAAACAATTCAGAAATGCACCAATATTTTTCAAGGATTCATGTTTGAAACTATTAGACGTGGAAAATAGATCGTTCACATTTCCAGAACCTGGTAGCTCCTTCCCCACTTCTCTATGAAATACCTTTCAATGGGCTCTCAGGTACATAAATTATTTATCAAAACAGCAATAAATGGGCATCTACTCATACAAATATTATTTAAAGAAGATTCTACAACCTCAAAATATTGTAGGTGTCTTATTGAATATTACCTTTATTAATTCATTTGTTTGTTAATTATAGTAGTATATTTTTTAGAATTCGAGTTTTTTTCGATTTTTTGCATGTTCTGAGAACATTTACTATAATAATGTATATTTTTTTCACACCATCAGAAAGTAGAGATTTCAACGAACAAAAAACACCGACTTTCTGAAAAAAAGTGATATTTTAAAGCGAGAATTTTCGATTGAAAATTAGGGTGCTTTTTTGATATTAAGTCGAAATAAGGTGAAAAAATTAATATTCCAAATGAAATAAATTACAGTGTATTTGGTACAGAAAAAGGTAAATTTTCACAAAATTTCGTAGAGAATTGAAAAAAAAACCAAAAATTTGGTTATTTGAATTTTTCACATAAATTTTGGGGTTATGTGAAAAAATTGAATATACAAAACTTATAGATCTATTCATTATCTATAACTTTGTCATAAAACTTTTTTCAATAGGACTTGTAGTCCTATTATTATATTCTCCTTCTTTCCTAATGGATTTCATCCTACTTCAATTTTTTTTCACTTTTCACCATTTTTGAAGGCTTCAGCCCTGGTCTGAAAACCTCTGTTATATACATTACATTAAACAACTAGTCCGGTCAAATTAGAGTAAAAAATAAGAGTGAAGGCATTTACAATAAGCTGTAAACGCGTGTAATTGTTCAAAACATAGTAAAAAATAAGATTTCAAAATTCCGAATGATTGCGATGCCTGGAAAAAAATTCATTCGAGGTCAAAGGTCAAAAATAAAATAGCCTCAGATAAAAATTGTAGATCATAAAATTCTCTACAAAAAGTGTATCAATACTCTGTATGTCAAGAGTAAAAAAAGATGCTAAACACATCCGAAAACTTTTAGAGTGGTTCTCAATACATGACCCTTTTCCAGGGGTAAACAAAATTATATCTATTGCAAGTGGTGTCGTTGCTGATGATTAAATAAACTGTTATAAAGCTCGTGAAGTTGGACTTGCCTCTATGGCGAAAATAACAGGACTAACATTCAATGATATTAAATTTGAACGCGCAGACAAAGTTGTTCCTCTTTTAGCGATGAGTATTACTATAAAAGTTCACGAAAAAAAGTGCCTGTAGTATTATTGTTCCAGCGCATGAGTATTATTGCAGCATTTCAAGATGAAATTGAGAAATATTTTGAATATGAATTGGCTCCCTACCCTTTATCGTTGTTTGATGACCTTGGGATGCGTGAAACACAGAAGTCTGCCATTTACGATTGTTTCCAACAGGTCAATAGTGAAATTAACAATACCAATACGACATACATCATTGACGGTGGATACTTACTACATCGTGTTGTGTGGGATAGTGAAGAAACATTCAGCATTATTTTAGATAAATACGTTCAGTATGTACGTAGACATTTTGGTGCCAGAATTACGATCGTATTTGATGGCTGTGATGATTGCACGAGAAATATTAAAGCTGCAGAACAACTTCGTCGAACTTTAGCAACATCTTCATCTTCCGATATTTTATTTGATGAACTTATGTCAATTCCTACCAGTCAACAGAAATTTCTTGCAAATAATCACAACAAATCTCGGTTCATTTCAATGTTGAAGGATAAGTTTATTGGCGAAAATATTTTGGTTAAACAAGCTAATAACGATGCCGACGTACTGATTATTGAAACAGCTATAGAGCAATTTAATTTGACAAATACAACTATTGTTGTTGGTGAAGATGTAGACTTACTCGTACTTCTTAAATAAGTATCGATATGCATGTTTCGTAAAAAACACTGAAAATAAAAAACAGGTGCAATTAGCTTGTCTTCCTCCAACCTCAGTTGCTGCTCATCAACATCTTTTCCGGGTATATTACTAAGTTCAAGTGTGGCTTGGTTATCAGCTAGACCCAAAAGACTGGGGATGGAAGGTGGTCGACAATGCATTAGAACCTATTCAGACTTTACTCCCACCTGCGCTGGAAAAACTACTGAACACAATTTTTTTGCAACTGTAAAAAGGAATGCAGCGCTAAATGTGGTAGAAAAAAAGTTGCACTGTTATGTTCTCTGGCATGTACATGTTGTCAAGGCCAGTCAGGTTCTAATGCTGAATCACCAATAGTGGAGGATTCATTTGATACCAACGAGGAATCATGCGATACTTGACGCAGTTTACCTACACCCAGGATGAACATCAAGAAGAAGAAGTAAATCAAGAAGAAGATCAAGAAGAAGAATTTTTACACTTTTTTAATTTCAATCGCTTTTATAATTTCCAACTCTTCTTAATGTATTTTGTTATGCAACTTTTCAATTTGACAGAATCACAACAGACCTGTGGAATAGGCCTACTGGGGAAACCACGTTAAAAAACGCGCTAAGTACACTACCCCATAGGTGGCATGGAAACGTGTGCATATAATGACGATGACAACTTTTTGACACGTCGTATCTCAGAAACGGTGGCTCTAAGAAAAAAAAGTGTTGATATATTTTTTGTAGAGAATTTTACGATCTACAATTTTTATCTGAGGTTATTTTATGATAAAACTTACCGTTTTCCTTTTTTGACCTTTGACCTCGAATAAATTTTTTTCCAGGCATCGCAATCATTCGGAATTTTAAAATCTTATTTTTAATTATGTTTTGAACAATTACAAGCGTTTGCAGCTTTTTGTAAATTTATGTACCTTCCAATGTCTAGATTGACCTGAATAAACATGTATATACATACACACATTATACAATTATACATTGAAT